TGGCTCTCACATTCCATGTACCAGTCACTAGGGTCTGCTTACAACTGTTCCTCCTCCCTTGTATTTCCATACTTGATAGTTCTACCTAGGTTGCCCTTACCACATCTTAAAAAAAAAGGACATGTCATATAAAAATAAAATTTGTAATTATAAATATTGTGTTTAACTTCCCAAAGAGAAAATTCTTCAAGATTTGTGTTCACAGGCAAACTGAAAAACTGACCTAGAGACAGATTAAAAGACGTTAATTTTAGTTTAGCATTAAAGAAAAATTTACTCAGAGGGGGAGCAGTATTGTAAGGATCTGGCAGAGGCAGATAGGGTCCAAAGAGTTTCTGCTGAGGATGGTGGGAGAAGCTGGCCATTTTACACCCTTATGTACATAACCACCCAATATGTGGTTAGGTTACAGATTGTTTAGACTGTTGGAAGGCAGGACCTAAGGAAAAACTATTTTCTGACCTTTATCTGATTATGCAAGCTTTGCTAAAAGCAAGGAAGGAAATTTCAGTTTGCCCCAGAGTTGTTTACTTAGACAAGAAAGGAGAAAAACAAGGCTAGTAAAGAACTCAACTAGCTTTGCAGGAATTAGATGCCTTTTTGGGACCTTTTTATAGACCTTGAACTTTGAACTCTGGAAATAGTCGGTATTACTAGCACACACATGACACAGTAGAAGTGAACTAAAGAGTGAGTCACCAGTTTGTTGTTTGTTACTATCTCTGTAAGTATGTGAACAGTGAATGTTTTTCACCTCCGCTACTTCATATTTCTGTGCTCTTTGCCTACATCTGGAGGACAAATCCCAATACCTGTCTTATTGTTGTTGTTATGCTTGCGACTCATAGCGACTCTGTGTACAACAGCCCTAAACACTGCACTATCCGGTGCCAATCACACTGCCTCTGACACACCCATTCCGATTACCCCAGTCACTGAATCAATCCACCTCATAGAGGGTCTTCCCCTCCTGCCCTGTCCCTCTACCCTTCCGAGCATGATGTCTCTTTCCAAGGAACTGTCCCTCCTTACAACATGTCCAAAGTATGTCAGACAAAGCCCCAGAATCCTTGCCTCCAAGGAGTAGCCTGGTTTAAACCTCTCCTGGATGAATCTGTTTGTTTATGGCAGTCCATGGTACATTCAGTACTCTTCTCCAGCACCACAGCTCAACGGCATCAATTCTCCTTCTATCCTCCCTAGTCATTGTCCAATTCTCTGATGCGCAACAAGTGATTGCAAAGACCATGACCTGTATCATACACACCTTAGTCTCCAGAGAGACACCATTGCTTTTCAGTACCCTGGAAAGGTCCCTAAGGGCCGACTTTCCCATCGCAAAACATTTCCTGGCTACCGTGGAGGCAAGCAGGTTAAAGTTGTTAACAATCTCAATCTCTTCACCATCTATCATGATGCTGCCAGTTGGCCCAGTGGTGAGAATCTGTCTTCTTGACATTGAGCCTCAATCCGTATTGAAGGCTGCAGTCCTTGTTCCTCTGCAGCAAGTGCTTCAGGTCCTCCTCAGTTTCAGCAAGCAGGGTTGTGTCATCTGCATAACTCAGATTGTTGATAGATCTTACACCAATCTTGACGCCGCACTTCTCTTCATAGAGACCAGTCTTTCGGATAATCTGTTCTGCATACAGGTTGAAAGGGTATGGAGATAGGGCACATCCCTGGCGTACGCTTTTCCCAATTTAGAACCATGCAGTGTTTCCCTGCTCTGTACTGACCACTGCCTCTTGGTCCAAGTATAGGTTTCACATTAGCACGATCAAGTGTTCTGGGATTCCCGTTCTTCTCATAGTCAGCCATAGTTT